GATCTGCCTCGCCCGGGAAGAGCGCAATGATGGTGCCAACTTGGGCCAGTGAAGCAACGTCCTCCACAACTAGACTGAAGAACAAAACAACAGCAACTTGCCTGTTCCCCTTCCCCCAATACCCCAATAAAAATCTTAAAAAAAAAAAAGAATGTGGGTTTCTGAGTTAGAACAACCTGTACTTTCATTCTGGTTTCTCCTATCTACTAGTTGAAGAAACTTGAAAACAGACATATGCACACACAGGCCTCTTTGGCCTTGGTTTCTTCACGTATAAACAGAGCTGATAATAACTATCTGATTGTTTCAAGTCAAGTTTTCTGTTCTAGGGGAAGTAAAAGAACTTTTTATATGGCTGTGCCACTCACAGAGGCTGACACTCACAGAGTATAAATGAAAGCTCAAGCAAGCTCAAATGCAATATTATCCCTCCAACACTGAGTAGATAAGAAAGAAGAAGAAGTTCCAGTCAGCTAGGGATGTTAAGGGTTACACATCTTTACCATTCTAGGCAGGCATGAGATACACCAACAGTAAAGAAAAACCGGGGTGTTATTGTGACAGCCACTTACCCTTAGAAATCCTGTTCTTTTCTCACAAGGCAGAAGAATATCGGAATTTCTATCAGGAGATCCCAGGAAGGACATGAGCAGAATGTCAGTCCAGCTTCACATTCGTGGCCTCAGACTTTCCCAGAGAAAGGCCATAAGTCACCCCCAGCCTTACAGGTCTAATGGGACTGGGTAGATTTGGGCTCTTTTGTTGGTGGAGAGACGGGGAGGTGGGGCAGGAGAAACAGGAGGCAGCCTAGTTACACTGAGTGTGAGAAAGTGTGAAAGGATGGAGTTTGTCCGGAGTAGCCAGGAAGACAGACCCTGTGGTTTTCCAGGCAACCCCAGTCTAACAAATCTTTTTAAAGGATAGTGAAAATCCGATCTCAAATTTTCAGTGTTTCCCAAATCAGACTGTGGTGTGTTAGTCAAATGCTTCAGACAAATTTCTATCTAAAGCCTCTAGCTTTTAAATTTCTTAAGGGCTGGTTTTGTGACCAGATAAAATCTCATTACAAAATGGCTTCTTCTTGGAAGAGTCTAGACCCCAGGAAGAGGGAATTGTACCAAAGTCCCCTGACCAAGACAAGGGACAAATGAAATATCACATGAAAAGTGGCCCACAGGAGTCATTCAATACATGCTAGTTCCTTACTTTGTGTGTGAATGTGTGTGTGTGTGTGTGTGTGTGTGTGTGTGTGTGTGTGTGTGTGTGTAAAATCATTGAATGTCTCCCATGTGTTAAGCACTGGATTGGTTCTGTGGCTAAGCAGTAACTACAAAAGGCAAATCTAAACCCTCATACAATGTAAAGTCTGGCTTTGAACTAAGCTTCAACTATTTCAGACATGGTCTTAGCAATGTGATCTATAAGAATGAGCACTTCACTAGCAGTTAAAGGAATAAAAAGGGCTTAGTCCTATCATTAATTAGCTATGACTTTGGAAAAGCCATGTAGTATTGGATGTCAGTTTCTATAGGAAAAGAAAAAAAGAACTTCGAACAGATAAGCTCTAAAATCCCCCTTTTTTCTGAGCATAGGTATCCACATAGTTATCAAACATGTGTCCTTGGACTTGTTCGTGCCATACTTCAACCAACCAAGCTCACTAGCCCTCTCAAGGGTGCTATTTTTCTTGCCTGATCTTATTACCACTCTCTCTTTATGCCTAGCTGGCTAATCATGGCAGCAGGATTCTTGTGGCCCAGTTTTAGCCACATTGCGGTGGTGAAACAGTTTGTAGATCAAAGTGACTAGCAAGGCTTAAAGTGCAGCCATTGACAAACAGGTCTCAGGACACCCTCTCCAGCAGTGGACAGCTGCTCGGAAGCTGTCTCCACCATGATTTAACACTGTGAACTTGTTTTGAAACAGCTCTTTTTGACACCAGATGTCTAACAATGGCTATTTTCACAGGCCTTACACGGTCCCTGCATTGCTCACGCATGTCATTTTGCTCCAAAATGTGCTATATCAATAACATGTCTCGACACCATCTCCTATCTCAGGTTTCCTGAGAAAGGGAAGGCGCGGGGGTGAAATGCAGAGACTCCGCTGGACTGATTGGTAAGTTTCAGCCTTATCTACACTCCCCCGTGTTTCAGGGTAGTTTTGTGCACTTTGGTGATGCTGAGAACAGATTGATGCCAATAAGCCATTTGAGATAAGGACTAATTGGAAACAGAAGGTTGAAGAATGATGATGTTGGGAATGAGCAAAGGGGACAGACAAGCAATTATTCGGGCAGAATTTCTTTACACAAAGGGCAGATGGAAAAGCGAACAAAATTCCAAAGTCTGTGGCAGAAGTAAGCAGCTGCACATTTCTTTTTGTGGAAAAGCAAACAGAGTGATTCACTGGGTTGGTAATGGACTCCAGAAATCCCTAGGGGTTCACAATATGCTGGCAGCCCACAGCATGTAAAATCACTCTGTGGCCTCCATCTAGTTCACCTCCTCAACTGACTCTAACTGTGAGGCATATGAGATGAGATTTAAGGGTAAGAATGAGGAGAAACAGCCTCCTGTTCACATGTGAATCATGGCAAAGATGCGCTGCGAAGAAGGTAGGAACATCAACACATACATACGTTCCACATTTGCAATGAGCCATAAATCAGATTTAAGTGAACATTTCCATTCATTAATACAAACTCACTACAAATAGAAATTATGAGAGAGCAGAATCTTGTAAAATATTCTTCATAATTATCAGAGTCATTGGATTGCAGCTAAATACAGCTCTGTGACTGCAAAACTGTATTTGAAAGACAAAGGCAATAATAATTAAGAATCAGGGTGGGAAACTGAGCCTCACAACTTCCCCCCAAAGCAAAATCATTAGCAGCAACCTTACTCAGCAGGACTAATTTAAAAGCTGTTTAACACTGCACTGTTTACCAATAAAATAAATAAAATAAAATAAAATAAAGACTCAAAAATTCTTCCTTAGTTTCTGTCTTAGGCTCAAACTAATCTATCTATCTATCTATCTATCTATCTATCTATCTATCTATCATCTATCTCTATAACTATATAGGTACATATGTATCTACACAGATATTCAAGACTAAATTAAAGACAAACGCCTTTAAGACAAATACTTTTCAAGGACATCTCCTCCCCAAGAATGCCAGAGTCAAAGGGAACCCGGTCCCCCCAGTTAGCTGGGAACAGGAAACCAGGTCACAGGCTTCACAGTCATGAGAGAAGGTTTTACATGTAGAAAACTATAATGAAAAGAAAGAAGAGAAAACATAAGGTCTCATACAAGGTAAGAGTCATAATTTAGTAAAAAGAAGTAAAAAGAAAGATAGATACAGTTATTAAAGAAAACAAGAAAGGGCAATAATAGATTTCAGAGCAGTACATTTTAAGATGGGATAAAATTTGAACTTGTACAAAGCTTGATTAGTTTGGAGTTTTTTATAAATTGAAGTTGAAGTACATCCAACTGCAATCACTTCTCTGCCCCAATCCCCTCTTTCTTTCTCCCCTTCAAGTCTCTAAACCCCTTCCTGCTTCAGTCCAGGCACCCGGGGTTCTTCTGATGGTCTGGTTCTTTTCAACCCTTCCCTGTATCTAAATCACATTTAACCTTCTAGCCTGAGATACAAAGCCACATAGATGTCAACTTTGACTACTTTCCCCACCCTTAAAATAGAACTTCTAGATTATTCCCTGGTAAAACTCAGGTTTTCTTGCACATTGCATAATGCAATTTACAATTGTATATTTATTTCTGTGTGGATTTACCTTTCCCACTTGTCTGTTTTGCCTACCACTGTGAAATCTAGCCTCTAGCAGAGAGCCTGGCACAGAGTAAGTGCTCAATAAAACTTCTTGCTGAATTCACAGAAATCACCCCCCAAATCTCTCATTGGCCTTGGTGTGTTGTAAAAGGGTCAGAAGCAATAAAACAAGGCCGAAGAAATCATATTTATAAATAAAATATTTAAATTTGAAAAAGCGAGTAAACAGCATTTTTCTACCTATAGCTAAAAATGGTAATAATAAATAATTATATATAATACATGATAACACCATCAGTTATAGCTAGGACTTATACAGCAATTAACCATGTGTCCTAAGAATCTTAGTTACATTAATTCACTTAATCTTCATCCTGCCCCAAAGATGTAGGTACTATTATGATATCCCTTTTAGAAATGATGATAATGAGGCACAAAAAGTTAAATAACTTACTCAAAGTCACACAGCTATTAAATGATGGAACCTATATTAGAAAATGTTCCCCAGAGCAACAGAACCAATAGGATGTATATATAAAGTGAGAGATTTATTTTATGGAATTGGTCTACGTTTTTGTAGGGGCAGGTATGCCTGAAATCTGCAGGGTAGGCTAGAGCCCAAGGAAGAGTTATGTTTTCCTTCACAGCTGAAGGCAGTCTGCTGGCAGAATTCCCTTTTCCTCAGGGGATGTCAGTCTTTTTTAAGGCCTCCAACTAATTGGATAAGGCCTACTCACCTCATGGAGGGTAACCAGCTTTACTCAGGGTCTACTGATTTAAATACTAATCACATCTGAAAAAAAATACCTTCACATCAGCATCTAGAACACCATTTGATCCAAACTGGGTACCATGACCTAGCCAAGTTAATCCATAACATCAGCCATCCAGAGCCAGAATACAAATCCAGTCTACTCCCAATATCCAAATACTTAGTGAATATACTTCCCAGGCATTTAGTCTAGAAAGATACCCTTAAAGTTCATTTTCTGCACTTATGACAGTGGGGAAAAAAATATAGGTGGGTATGTCTGGATGTGTATGTGTGTGTAAATAAAGTGTAAAGAACAGGAACATTTTGCTTTGGTAATGTCCACAGGTAAAAATACTCCCTCATTTTATCGGGATAGCTGTTAAGTATAAAGACGGCCAAAGATAAACTGTAGGTCTTATAATGTAAAGATAACATTGCTTATTACCAATTTTCAAATGAGCTTTAAAGGGCAAGAAAAGAGCTCAGCACTTCAAAGCAATTCTTGCACCACAGTGTTCCAAGACCGCAGAATAACTACAGTAACAGTTATGTTTTCAAAACAGAACAGTGAACAGAAGTGACAGTCCAAGAGTTCAGCTGTGTTTCTGCCACGAGTTGGAAAGTGATCAGTGGAGCCAACCAGGAACACTCAGGCTGCCCAAAGGTTCTCCACTGTTGCTTCTTCACCAAATTCCCTTCAAGTCTAATAGCACGAGTTTCATACTCATTCTTTAGAGAAAGGTACTGCCTCTAGAACATCTGGGTTAAATAAAAATGTGTCACACTGTGGTTAATATATTAGGTCATGAACATATGCTCACACAAGCAAAATATAGTTGATTATTTATAAGCCACCCTAGTAGACAGCCAAGTCCTGTGATAATGGAGCACAGACCCATTCAGCTTTACTTTTCACATCCATAAAGTAGGGATAGAATTTCCAATTATGGATGTTGACACATTATAGAACATTGGGAGAAGCAATTTCAGAAGCACAGTTCTCAGAGAACAGCTTTGTCTTTAAAGTAGAGCCTAGCTTTTCAGGAGATGCCCACTAGAGAATTGGAGTAAATATTTGCAAAGATTTTTTTTTTTTATGAGCTGAGGATAACGGAAGCTATTTGCTGAGAATTTTTATCCATCATTAAAACAGAGACCCTGAAGCCTAGCAGTGGATAGAGTGTACTCCACCTCCTGATACATATTTTGGTATAAGCCATAGTAGAGATGATGAATTGGCAGATCCCAGAAAAATAAGACTGTAGATCAAATCCTTTGGGGCCATGCATCCAAATGGAATGATAGCTGTATCATTCACCAGAAATAGACATCAGTTTATGTACAACACTCAAGTTAGAGAGTCTAAATAAGGAGTATAACTAGGAATATATATTTTATGTATAACTAGAGGCATGGTAATTGATGATTTGGAACACCAAGAAGCAATGTTTACATTTGAAACATAGAGCTTGATTCTCCTGGCATGAACATGAAAAAGACAAAAAGGATATACACAGTTATACAAGAGGAAACATGTTTCAGCTATGAACATTTCACGAGATAGGACAAAAAGAGCCTATAGAAAAACCATGAGGACAAGACAATTAAGTGAACAGGAAAGGGTTTTGCACATAAAGATTATGTCAAAGGGCACACAGACAGGACCTTTATAAAAAGAGTGGAAAGAGAATCGCATTTCATATTTTGCCCTTTGCCTATTCCCCCAAGTTCCTAAGAGTAAGGGGGGGAAAAACCTGACTAATCCTTTGCTGGGTCCCCTCAAAAACAATTCCATAATAAGGCAATCCTGTGGGGTTAAACACCAGAAGCAAGGCAGATAAAGTCAGAGAGAATATTATGAAAGGCTTGTGATAAATATGACAGAACATTAGAGAAGAAGAGGTTAATCGCAAGGCTGGTTGGCGTGAAGTTAAAAAAAAAAAAAAGAAGCAAAGACTATTTGTCAAGCCACTGTGTAAACAAGGAGAAGCAGAAGTGAAATGCTCCCACAAACTCTAAGTGAGATGTTGGAATAAAAAGAGTTACTGGCCATCTGAACAGAAAACCAGTAAGAAAGAGATGCTTTGGGATGAAATATCAACAATAAACTGTTTTATGAAGCACCCCTGTGCATCTGGGACATACTGACCTCATTTGGTGTGCAGGTGGCTGCATCTCAGAGGCAAGGGAAAGGTAGAAAATGCAACAGGGCAGAGCCAGGAAAGGCGGATGCTTGAGGGGTCATTAACATGCGCAGCAGGTGACAACAGAGCCAGGGAGAGTTAATAGGATCCCCCAGGTAAACGAGCAGATGAAGAAGACCAAATGGGAAAGTAGGGAGGTGGGGCAAGCAAGCACTGAAAGAAATGGCAAAGTAATAAAAAGCACTGGATTGTACAGTGGATTAGAAAGAGAAAGCATTAAATTTAGTAGGAAGGGGAAGAGAAAGCCTATAAAATAAAATAGCAAATTGATGAGAGAAAGGGACCCAAATGCAAAATATAACACTTAACTGATTTCACAAAAATTATACAAACTGGAGACGATTTAATTATCCTGGTC